AAAGTCAATGTGTCATTAGGCAACAGTCACAAACTCGTTGTGCAGGTGGTCAACATGACCCAATATACTACACACACACACACACACACATATATATATGATTAACGTTCATTAAGACTTAATATATGTTGAGAAAATTCCTCCTTTTGAAAGGACAATGAAGACAATGGAGAGATTGTGTAGTATGACTATAACAAGCATAGTTAAACATCATTTTTGTGATCAACCTAGAAAAAATAAGATAATCAGGAAAGAGTTCATTTTAGGAACAGTGGTATCTCGATTATAAAGCCATCCGTGATATTAAACGGAATCAATACGTCACATACCTTAACTAGACATATTTATTAATATTCCAGCGCTCAAGTAGACCAGGGGAAAAATAAATCTATATTCATGAGTGACGATATATGCAGCGAGTTCAATCAAACGTCCATTGTTCAGTACAGGTTTTCATGCCGCGTAACGAGTGAAAAAAATAGAGGAAACCACTCGATGTTGAATACATTGTGTCCGTATCAACATCGATTTTATATGACGTTTCTCTAATATCTGCATGCTTGAGTTGTTATGTTGTGTGTAGAGACACGGAGAACGGGGGTATTGATAGAAGGTGTTGATGAATCAAACCAAACGCTAGATAAGAAATGCTAACAAAATATATAGAGCTGTGTGATTGGCTCCACTTTTTAAACAACGATGTATAACAACTTCTGAAATTACTAAAATAACATTACACTACCATCAACCTGCAAATGTACATGGTTTATTCAAGTACAATGGCAAAAACAATACCACTGTGACAGAATCTAAACTCCAGCCAGTGTGAAACAATTATCAACAGGAAAAGCGAGAATATCAAAACGTTAGATTTGAGAGGGGTAAGGACGTGATGAACAAACCGACTTGAATTTCGACAAGACACCTTATTCATAGACAATATCGCTACTCGTGATCATCTCACCGTTTAAGATGTGATCTATTTTTTTTTTGAAGATACAAGCTTGCTCCCAATACTTAAAATGTGTCCTTTACGACGACGCAGGTTTTCAAAAGATGCAGATTGAAAGAGTGATTGTCGTCATCAAATATTGTGATCACATTTGGAAATGTCTTTTAACTTATTTTACTATCCCTCATTACATATCGTTGATCGTTTCGTTTCCAAGTTCCGAGTTGGTATGTTTTTCGTCCTGTATTTACTTATATCGATTTTCTGTAAGCATGAAGCCTTCTAAAACGACCTTACAATGCCAGTTCGCCACACGCACTACGCTGTATTATGATATAGAAAATACAAGTTTCGAGCATCACTCGGTACATACAATAGATGTCATTACCAATGAGTACAATAAACTCTTGAATGGTTCTATCCGGAACAAGAGACCCGGAACCTTGTACATGACAAGGCACTTACAAAGTACTGTATATGTAGACTGCCTATTACAGGTATGTCTCACAAGCTAGATGTTGATAGTTTGTCCTAAAAATCCCTTGTATCCAAGTTATAATTATATTTTTTATCAGTAAGTATAATCTGTCACTTTAGCGTAAAGATTGTCTTTGTGTTATTGTATTTATAAAAGTATACTGAAATTTACCAGAATGCAAGAGTATGTAGGATGCATTTGCCCATAAATATGTGCAAAGGTTTACTGTTATTTGAATTGTTATTAAATTGGGAATATACTTACCAGCCAATGAAATCAGGGAGAATTATACCTACCAGCCAATGAAATCAGGGAATATTACACCTATCAGCCAATAAAATCGGGGAATATTACACACACCAGCCAATGAAATCAGAGAGTATTACACCTATCAACCAATGAAATCAGGGAGCATTACACCTACCAGCCAATGGGATCATACCGGATGTGTATCAACCAATGAAGTTATCGAATTTGCCTAAACACTGAAATAATGACATCAAAGTGATAATTGTTATGGTCGTCGTTCTGTACTGACCTCTGCTTGAACTTTTATATTGTAACTTTTGTTAACACTTTACCTCATTGTCTGAGACAATTATTTACCTATACGCTCATGCGGATTTTCATAAGATTTCAAAGAAAAACTAATATCTCTTCAATTCCTCCTTGAAATGCGTTGTGTTTGAGAAATTTTACATTGTATATTGGTGAGTTTTATCATTGTCTACTCTGTATCAACTCAAATTTCAGATTTATCGCTGTTATCGATAAATCATCCTTGCTTATCAATTTTGTCGATTTATGTGGAATTAATGTCCTGTTGTTATCCTAGTATTGGACCATATGAGCGATATGGTGGTTGTGTGATTATATTGTGTTGTTATAGTATATTTCTTTCGACCATGCTGCTGATAAATAAAAATATTGTCCTTGTGTTTCGTATTAAATCATCTTCTACCCTCCATAATTGCATCACAGGGTTTGTTAGAAAAAGCAATTCTGTCTTTCCCTTTAGGAAAAGACAATTCATATGGTTTTATTTTTAAAAAAGTTCCCAGTACAGTGCTTAACCTAAGTTTCCATCATATCCTAACTTAGCGTAACCATGTCACAATTTGCTTAAGTTAATGATTTTGAGGAGCGTTTCAGGGGTATTTGTGATTGCATGAATAACCATCAAATAGTGTGAAGAAAAAATAATCACCTCTGTGTTATGTTGACAGAGTTTTTTCATCCTCAGGATCACAGAGATATTTTTGAAGTTTAGTTCTTAGGTAAGATATCGGCAAAGTCCTGTGTTAAACTTTGAAAATATATCGACGATGTCATGGTGATAAAATCTAAGACCTTCGTGTTGAGACATCTGACCATTTCCGATAGACGTGAAATATTCTGTTGATCAAGTCTCTGTGCCAACTGTATCATAACATTACCTGAATAGGTGCTGGAACACTCTCTGTGCCAACTGTATCATAACATTACCTGAATAGGTGCTGGAACACTCTCTGTGCCAACTGTATCATAACATTATCCTGAATAGGTGCTGGAACACTCTCTGTGCCAACTGTATCATAACATTATCCTGAATAGGTGCTGGAACACTCTCTGTGCCAACTGTATCATAACATTACCTGAATAGGTGTTGATACATTGTGTTGAACTGTTACCGTGTGTCTGGAGACCGTAATATCCTTCGACGTTGTCCTCGGACTCGTAGTTATGTTAGTTATGATAGCATGACCTAATGAGAATCTTCAGGAGGAAGCCCAATACAGAACTAAAGAACTTAAGTACATTGTTACCAACTTGTGTAATTTTTAACCATCTCGCCACACTATTTTCGACCTTAGCGTACATAGGATTACAGTACAGCCGAAAAGGTGGGTCAATTCCTTACCAACTCGTACACTATGTACGACAGTGTCAGATGAAGGTGACTGTAGTAATCGAAACGTCACACCTAAATCTTCTAACGTTGACTTTTGTAATAAAAGTGTCCATACTTTATAGTGTAAACACATTAGAAGTAATCTTCATATTTTACTTACACTGAAGAAATAAAGTAAAAAAAAATAAAATAAAATTTGAAATTATGACTAGATGAATCCGAGATGTATACATTATTGTTAATGCCAGTATTGAAATGAACTGCATTACCTGTACAAAATGTTTGTTTGTAGTTCTAGTGAAACGGGTATTACCGAGGAAGTCACTTTAAATAAACCTGTATAACGGAGCAGATGGACACAGGGTCCTATCTCTTATTGTATTGTCATTACGTATAATATCTGTCGACAACTTTATCAACATGTACAAACCGAGGCCGTACCTATGTCTGATTTTCATTATGGTAGCTACATAGGCTTCAATATGCAGTGATTTAAAATATAATGTAAGGACTGAAATGGACAGATTATGTTCAATTTCAATCGGGATTAAGATTTTTATAAACCACTTCGTTTCTTAAATACGTACACTAGCAGTGTACATTTTAGTAACAAACTTATAAACATAGACTGTGTTGACCAATATATATCAATTTGACTTCTTTTCAGATTTCCTATTACTGGTATAATAACGAATATCACGACCTCGTCAAAGTCACATCGCTATATAATACAAACAATCAATGGCTGTGCTTCCCCCCATACGTTTGGTTACCTATGGAACTTTAATCACAAATGATATTTAAATGAAAAAAACCTGACGAGCTGATGACGGCAATTACGCAAAATTACTGGGTTTTATTGTAATGTCTTGTAAAACCCAGTAAGAGAAACCATGGAAATATATATAAACGGGAAAAATAATAAAAATAAAAACTTTAAAATATGAAATAATAATAATAATAATAAAATGAAAGCAACATAACACACATTTACATGTATGTAAAATTAAAACTTGAATACACAACACGGCATGCACAAAGGAGTAGACTTTGATGAAGAAAACAGGGCTTTACCGATTTGACATTATAACAAGTCAGCAAAATTATTACATTCTATCTGTATTTATTTCCGTCCATATATGACAACGTTAATGTCGATTTGCAATATTACTCTTGCTGACATCACCAATAACCGTCCATACATTCTCTTTACAACTTCATATCAGAATGCAAATGATGCCTTTTAAAATAAACCACATATGTAAAGGTCTCAAAAGCGATCTCCTGTAAAAGGCCGTAAGCCTTCGACCATTTCGTCCAATAAAATCGCTTGAAACCAGCGCGCGCACGACTGGCTGTAAATAATAGGACAAGTTTAGCATTGTTGTTGGTATTTCCTCTGATAGAGCTCCACCGCACTGCTTTCTATTAATTTTCAATAATCTAAACAGATTAAGTGCTGGTGTTTGTCTGTACACTTGGTAATTTAAAGCTTGTGAAGAGTGAATACACCAAATGAAAAGGATCGTGTGAGTTATGCCTCTGTATTCAGACATGTTACAGCTATGTTGGTCGGTTGGTTAGAAACGGACATCGGTTGATGATGAGGTTGTGGTGACCTTCCCTACCTGTGTTTTAATACCTTGTCTTGTTATCTGTCCATTAACAGACTAAAAACAATGAGGATACCGTTAAATGTGATAGTGATTTATATAACGTTTAACTGGATACGTCATTCAGGTACGTATACTTACTTTTAACAGTAAATTTGTCATAAATAGACATATTTTGCGATTTACAATTATGTAAACTAATGTGATTTGGTAATTCGTAACTAGGCACAAAAGTATGGAGTTTTACAAATATTATACAATTTTATGTCAGTTGTGATCTCACTCACTAACACTTTTACATATTCTGTGTTACACAAGTAATGTTTCCAAATTCTGGTTTCGTTGACCAGGCAATAATTATCTTACGTTTCTAAGACGACAAAGCTATTCTCTCACGTTGTAACGTATCATGGCTGACCTGTCATTAATCAGTGTCAGTAATAAATATTATATCATACTTCCTCACTTCAATATTCCACAAAAACGTTAAAAATATTATCTAAGATATTTATGACCCTTCCTTTATGAAAACATATTAAGTTGTGGCTACAACTTACTATAATTACAAATGCGTTTTACAACGACTTGTTAAACTATATTGTGTAAGAAGCCATCTAGGATTTTTTCAGTGATATTATCTCTCTTAGCAGTTGTCGTAAAATGGAATAACTTTCCTTTGGAGAAAATATGAAATGAATACAGATAACAGAAAGTGAACGTATATATATAACAAACTATCTGATATATACGTTTGTTATTTAGTCGTTGTCAGTCGAGTTGTGAGTCCCTCCTCCTGCTGAAGGCTGATACATTGAACCTGGTAATATATTCGAAGCTGCTGTTCAGCACAGAAGTCGGAAAACATGTAAAATACTTATTTAAGATGTTACTTTTGCCTCTGTTGATTAAGGACCGTGTATCTGTATGTATAATTTCTTCTCACACGAAGATGGCTAATTATCATTTAACCCAGTATTCGCTTTATTTGTATTGATGGACAGTTTCCCTTAGGAATTTAATGAACATAAACATTACATGTTTAAAATGTCCCATCATTTCCGACCTTGGCGGTTATGTTGTATAGTAAACACAAATATGCATTAACCAGAGAGTACAATAATTGTGAAGGTAAGGTAATATCAGTTCGTTTAATAGGACGTACAACTGATTCAGTCCTTATATATTTAACACAAACTACAAAAGGACAATAAAGGAAATGGTGTATTAAAAACCGAGGGAATTAGCTATATTTTGATTTGTTGTGCTCAATTAAACCGAATTCGCCAGTTATTAAAGAATTGATATGATGTAATTCTAAGGTATTCTTAAATCACCAAATGGTACATATGTCACACATAATAGCAATGTTATATGGTACACACGTTACGATGACATATTTCACATAGTAGCAATGACATATGGTACACATGTAACAATTACATGATACACATTGGACATGTTTTACTTAATGGCAGTGAAGTCCAATAACACACATTTCTGGAGCTCACAAACTCAATAAAGCACGAAAGTATGAAATATGAGTTCATACGTGTTGATATGGTCATATTCCAATTTTCTAAGACAACGTTTAATTTTGATGAAGCAGGTATTTCTTTTTATTCACTTGAACTATCGTGAAGTTCTTGGTACAGGAAAGTCAGTATTGTAACAGTGAAATTTGTAATGTCACAATAATGGTATTGTGACCTAATGGCGTTATAGTCTCATAACACTTATTGTAGTATTAATGTATTCTAATGAGAGGAAGGAAAACAACGTTGAGTATGGAATAAGGCAACATTTATAAGAATACAAAAGTGTAAACATTGTATGTCGGTGCACATGAAACTATGACGCATTACACACTTTTCAGTGACATATGCACATGCTACAATGACGTAATACACATGCTATGAAAAGGAAAAATTAATACTACTGTTATGTACGGTACACGTATAACACTGAAATGTAGAATGAAAGTGTAACAAATAGTGCATGTATATCAGTGACGAATGTAATACGGCTATGATAACGTTCAGACAATACACTGATGGTATCAAACAGCTATCTACCTACAAATCAATTACTTGGAATTAAATAATGTGAAATGTTTGATAAAGATACGAACCAAAAATTGTTAGACTTATCCATAGTTGGTCAGATATATATATATATATATAAACATTAAACATTACATATTTGTTTAGTTGGAGATATCAATATCACGTGTTACAAATCTCAGAGATGTAGACAAAATCGAGATGTTTGAAACGATTTTCTTTATTCATCTTTTTATTATGCTGCCACAACATTACAGATTTTAGTATGCTTTCAAATTTATCTTTGGTTTTCTGTTTTATGAAATACTTGATCATATAGCTTGAAGTGGCTAAGGATGATTATGGGCTCGGCGTTTTGTCTTAGATGGAGTAATGAAACACTGATATCAGAAACATCGAGCACATTGGTATAAATGATGATAACACATTTCGCCATTCCTCCCATCGAATAGAAATGTCTTTGTAAATGTATGATAAAGATTCATTATTGATATAAAAAATACGACGATGATATTGTTATCCTACAATGTTCTCACTCCAGGTCCAATATCAATAGTACAACATATCGAAACTTTAAACATGGAAATCTGTAATGGATCCAGTTTACATATAAGGACGCAGTGTGTGGCAAAATATTGTTTCCATTGTTCTGTTTTTTGCGCCATTTTTCTGTCATTGCCACCGAGTTGGAAATCAATACATGCGTAATGATAACCTGACATCAATAGTCAATTTCTCAGTCACCAAACCTTTACACGTCTGAATTGTTATATCACATTGTTACTACCGTAAAGCTATTTTCCAGGGGGTTGTCTGTGCGTTATTTCAAAGGCGGAATGAAATGTGTAAAAAATGTATTCACAGTAATTTATATAAATGGACGAAAAACAAAAAACTAGCTACTTAGCCATATTCTTGTCATCTGTCGCAGAACTCCACATCTGACGTCACAGAATTACTTACGATGTTATAACACATCAAGTGCTCTAAAAACCCCTATAATTGGAAACTAAAACACTCCGATTACATCGAGACAAACACATGCTTTAGATAAAGTTATTGATCTCTATAGGTGAATTTTAACAGAAGCCGTAATTGAACAACATTACCAGATGTTGAGAATAAGAAGTTAAGAACCGACCAATATACCAATTTATGTAGATGTAAATGCATGAACTAATTTCATAAGTACAGTTAACTGATTGATAGACGATTCCATTTCATGTGATATCTGTTACAGTTGTTGTAGGATTGTGAGAATTCTGTCATGTGATATATGTTACATTTGTTGAAGGATTGTGAGAATTCTGTCATGTGATATATGTTACATTTGTTGAAGGATTGTGAGAATTCTGTCATGTGATATATGTTACATTTGTGGTAGGATTGTGAGAATTCTGTCATGTGATATATGTTACAGTTGTAGGATTGTGAGAATTCTGTCATGTGATATATGTTACATTTGTTGTAGGATTTAGAGATTTCTGACATGTGATATCTGTTACAGTTGTAGGATTGGGAGATTTCTGTCAGTTGATATATGTCAGATTTATTGTAGGGTTGGGAGAATTCTGTCATGTGACATATGTTACGTTTGTTGACGAGTCTTTAGAATGACGAAATAGCTGTATGATGTAGCATCACTGACGAGTCTTTAGAATGACGAAATAGCTGTATGATGTAGCATCACTGACGAGTCTTTAGAATGACGAAATAGCTGTATGATGCAGTCTAATTCAGTGGTTCGTTCTACTTTATCTTACTCCTAATAAATGTTTTATTAACTCGTGTGTCTTTTCTACAATCACAGTATAAAAATATCTAGCATTACAAAGCGTCTGTAAGGGTGACTATAATTTGTACTATACCAATTACATATGGATTATGCGCTATTTTCAAATTCCGAAGAAATGTGATCGCTTATAACTATTCCTAATTGCTGAATATACTTGGGCAAATCAGGCATGCGATATTGACATCGTAAATAGTTAACTTTGCAATTTGTGCTGTAATCTAAGCTTCATACCTCTCTGGACCACCACTGAGTAAAAAACGATCGACAGTCCTTATTATATGTTTATCTGGTAACAAGATAAGTCTGCGCAATGGTGACATCACATTCGGGTGACAAGATCGGTATGCACAGCGGATTGTGCAGATAACGGATCGATGCAATGAAATGGGAGAGTTGACACAAGAATCCGATGGACTGTTGGGAGCTTGAATACGGGTACACATATCGCTGCATACGTTAAAGGAATAGAAGTATGTATCGACCGACATTCCTATACATCAATACATAACAAATTCGTTGAAAACATACTGATTAGAGCCAAAGAAAAGGAAAAAGAAATAAAGTGCATTAGATATTGATTGTTTTGAATATACTCTTCCATCTCTGTCGGTATAATTTGCAACACTTTATGGTTGATCTAGACCACGTATCATGACAGTATGAACTGCCATGTAGGAGACAATTAAATTGTTATTTTCGGCAAAGCTCACGAGATGCAACCAACATGGCAATCCCTGCAGATGATTGGATCTATTTTCATGTCTTTTACCTGCCGTCTAATAAACAGCATTTGGGATATCCTATCATTTTTTTCTTTTCATTACCATCATTACGTGTTCCTTTTCTGATGCCTTACCTTACAATGTCTTACTTTCGGCTGTATTGAGGTCTTTGTCCAAGAAATGATGGACATGATCTCTGTTTGCTGTACAAGGCATGCCGATGTCCATTAAACGACATCATTCTCTACTTGTAATATATAAGAGACCGTTAAGATTGCTGATTGTTTCAAGCTTACGTCATCAGGTTTCAATGAAATGTCACCCTTATGCGGTTCCTCAGCAGCCCAAGCATCCACTGAATTTGTCTGTTAATGACAAAATGCGTTACGATAAGAGTAGAGATTGGGTAGGGTATTATCATGACTTTGTTTAATAGATTTTAGTATGAAGCTTCTTAATTTCTTTAACAAATCTCTTTTGAAGAGTTTTGATTATTTCTTTTCAGCGATATTATTCGTAAAACATGAAATTAAATACAGCTGACAACTGCTATTGTTTGCAAAATTATTTAAAGATGTAGCATGCAGTAAATATCAGGTATCATCATATACAACACCAGTTTTTACCATATAACTACTAGCTATATGTATTAATCATGCAGTCACTTTACCGAAGTGACAATTCAACAGTGTGGACAGTTTTATAAAATTTGCAACGGGTCACACATAAAAGTGAGAGATGCATCGAATCTCTCTTTAATCGGATAACAATGCAATATACCTGTTTAATCACAGTTAACTGGTGTACAATCTAAACTCTGCAGACAACATTAGCGTAACCATTATATAGTCACCAGTGTAAACACTACAAAACAGACCAGCAGTGGATGGTAAAATATGGATTTATCCCAGCTGTACTGAACGTGCAGCTTTAATCACTGTTGAAAAACCGCGTGCTTTAGAACTAGCGATGAAAGGCTTCTAGACGAATTAGATATTTTAATCCCTTTATGATTAAAGAGCTTTGCTCAATTTAATTGAAATGATTCCGATGGCTGGCATAATCCTTCCGTTATTTCCACGTAATGAAATACGTTTATAAACATGATTCTGACTGAGCTTGATTATACTGTATGTTCACACGTAACAAAAAGTCCCATACGATCTGTGTTACAATGCAGACGTGATTTTGATAGTTTGTCTCGTCCTCGTACCTGTTTTATACTTGTCCATTCTCGTACCTTAAGTACTTCTTTAAATGTAGAAGTTAATCTTACACTGAAGAATAAGATATGATGCCCCATGTGAACTGGTAGTATGATACTCTATATCATAATATGCATAAAGGCATTCAAAAGATTTCAGGTTTAGTATTAGACAATTAATCCTAAGTAGGACTCTAAGTTGAATGTTTCCCCATAGTTGTGTCTTGTGTGTGTATGAGATTGTTGTCGTCTTCTGGCCCTATCTATGATGCATGTGAGATACATAGGATATAATTATATGTATGTGTTCTCTAATTCATAAAAAGATACACAAAAACAGACAATAGACGAAACAATTTATAGACGGTCAGTATGACAACAACAGGAAGTAACAAATGTCTGGCGTAAAATAACTCAAGGTTATGATGTTGTGTTAGAATACCATTCATAAAAAGAAGATGCTCACGTTTAAAATCACATGCACTGATCACTTGATTATGTCAGTGTTGCACCACGGTGTGTGTCCTGAGTAGCTAACATCACGTGCATTCACGCGTGCGTGAAATGTCATCTGCAGTTACACGTTTCCCCAAGATCCACGATGCAACGTCGTTTTTTTCTGCTCAAGAGAAGCTCCGTCACCTAACCAAGTCTACTCGTGGCACACGTTCACTCACCACTTTACATCAAATTCAATGATGCATGTACCAGCAAAAGGTAAGCATTAGCATCAAATATTAATTCAAATACTATTCACTATCGTACATTTACCGATTTCAGTTCCGATTAATATTTCTAAATAGTTTCCGGACTCTAGATCTATTGTGCATTGTTAGAAGAAGAAACGAGTTCACTCAGCATTCCTTTATATACCATTTTTAGTAGTGTAACAATTATCTTGCTCATTAACAAATCCGTGCTCTACATTTTATAATTGCCAGGTCTAATTAACTCTAAATATTTTACGTCTATCTGAACAAAATTGTTTAGGTGTTTAGGTGAAATTTACGCCATGTATTTTAATTCTTTGGTTTATATTTTGTTTGTACTATTGTACTATATAAAAATTATTCCCTGTTAGAATTATGATAAATATTCTGCATAATTCTGATTTAACATTTTGACTATATATATGGGTATTCATGTTACAGATGGAGCCTGTACCTTCCCAGACGAGATCAGCGGTGTCTGGTACAGTGCTGACAAAGGACCACTTACCTTTAACTCTACCATGATCGTTAACTATCCGATCTTTATGTCCTATAGTGTCAACTCGCTCGATTTCGTGTGTGAGGAAAATGATGGATATAAATATTTACTCAAGTAAGTACAATGTATGTAATCGATTTATTTGGGATGAGTCGTTTCCATTTACAGTGTATTCGATACATGGCAAAGTATACAGCAGCGTTTTATGTCGAAACGAGTGGTCATTTGAATGTGTCTGGTAATGATTTGATATCAACACCACATTGGAATAGCTATTTTATATGGAACTTTAAGTGGCCAATGAACCCAGGCTCACCGCCTCTATGTTGTCGGACATGGATCTTGTGACTAGGGCAATTGCCTGATTTACTGGGACTGTTAAAGATTGTTTTAATAAAGATTAAGGATAACAAATTTTCTGTTCAAATGACGGGCAATTACGGTGTATTTATGATTTGTCTTTGAACATAATACCGTGCCTATTTAAGATAATAAGATTTTTCTAAGAAAATGTCAAAAAACGGGGCCAGCAAATAGCGAGGAAGGTCTGCGTTATTGAGTCAAATTCGTTACATTAATACGTAATCTTGATAAATATTGCAATGTATTGAGATCGACAGTTTTCGTAGCTGTATTGTCCTTGTTAAACTTTAGGAGATATGATAGATATGGCCAAACTACATGTATGTGTCTTTAAATCTGGCGATTTAAGAAACACGTTATAAACACTGAATACAAATGTAGTGTCTTGGTGACCATACTCAACAGAGATATTGTACACCAAAGATTAAATTATTCTCGCGATGTCATCCTCGGTTTATCTTATCTTGATTCTAGTTGTATTTTATACCACACAAATGCAAGAGGAAAGTTCCTGAATATATTATCTTAGCTTACGCCTTTTCATAACGTCAGACATATCAACATCTACATCCTGCCATCCTTAAATCGAACTTTGACCAAAAACGTGAACGGCAATCAAATGATGATTATTGAAATTCATATGACCTCCCTATACTGTGTGTTCAAAATATCTTTTCTCGCAGAATGAGTACTTCGGGTAAATAGGGAATTATATTTGCATGTTGTTTAATAAATGTTATAATATTTTATTTGATTTTTTCATCAGGTCGACAACCACGACCCTTGTGTTTGGCAGTTATATATATGGCTACCTATGTATAGAGCTGAGGCGTGTTTCACCTTACAAGTATTACTACTACATAGGCACGAGTAAGTAACATCAACCTTACACTATATTTTCCATTCTGTTTGGCAGGTAATTTTTGCGGGCAAAATTTTTCACTTTTTTCCATTAAAGCTATAGGATTATATCTTAAGAATTTATTTTTCGCGATCTGAAAGTGATTGGACATCTAATACACAGTTCAATTTATTTCACTGATTAAATTTCGCGGTCACGAATAAAAATTTCACTCCCGTTAAAATTATCGGCTATAAGGTACATTTCTATTCACTTTCAATAGAAAGGGGATAACTGCATTGAATAAACTATTTTGTGACTAATTTGAATGTAGTATTACGTAAAATGATAATTGTTTCTTTTCCGAAGCAGTCGACCAAATGGATATTGCATGTTCGAATGGATTATTTTCTACGACTTAAATACATCTAATCTGTATTGACCATCCTTGATATTATAAAATTTTGGCTCTCGTGCTAATTACCTAGACAAATTTAAAAGAATTACTGATATCCCTTTCTATGTTAGTATACTGTTTTGAGATATAACGTTATCTAACATTGTTCACGAAAGTTAATATGCTATAACAGGTAGCACTTTTAATGTACAAGGTTCAGTTCTTAGTGTTTCAATAACGTTGGAAGATTTAATTTAGCTCGACCAAATACAAGCTCTACATTTATAAAATCTTGTGTCAATTACCATTTAAACTGCTTTGTGCACCTCCCCATCTAGATTTTAATATCTTTTTTTAAAATCACGATCGGAAATCAACGGTAAAAAATATGCTTAATAAACAATTTTGTGGGAGATGTGGTTGGGAAGTATGATATATATTTTAACAGTATGATTCTTTATCTGTACAGCGGTGGAACAGACTGTGAACGAGCACATCTACGGACGAGTGGCAGCGATCACAGTTACTATGACAGACGCTTGTAACAGAGCGGAACCATACGAGGACAACACCTTCGTCATGTTGGTCAAAGATGGTCAGTTTGACATTTGCATGAATTATCTTTGATAGCTTTTGATTGTTCTTTGTCCACAAATTAACTATTTTGTAATCGTACTACACTAACGAAACAGATTGCACATGTACAATTATTTGCATTAAAAAGAAGTCTTGACATAATTTTTACGAAAGACGTTCCAGTAGCCGATTACATACTTTAATAATCGTCCTCCCCACACGGGATAAAAATTTAACATAATAAGAAAATGAACTGTTCCTTCATTGAGTTTGGTGTTCAGTTCAGTTGCCAATAGTGTTGAAAAATTGCAATTTACTGACTAAATATTCTTCTTTGAGTTGATGTTCAAGATCAATCGTTAGTTTCAGGCTGTAAGCAAAACATTTGATGTATAAGGTTTCACAAGGCTTTTTATAAAAAGTATGGAGTATCAAGAGCGAAGTAGTATATGATTAAACAAAGGGTTCGATTTGTCCATTTTTAAAAATTTCATTTTTGTTTCCCGCATCTGGTACTCTTCGTTTTGGACAATTTACGTTACGTCTTAAAATATATTTCTTAGAAATCCAAGCTATTTTCCTTTCCTCAACCGAAATTCACCATTAAATATTAAATGTCGTATTACCAATGAGAGTGAGTGGTTCAAGATAACGGATATACATTACCCTCGTCTTCGGTATTGCCTAATTGAAATGATTAATAAACAGTGGAATTATGTATAAAAAGGTGAGAGAAAATATTAATATTAATTATATTATTTTTGATGTGCTAACAGGAGCCCCCTACTCCACTCTAGGCGAGGCCTCGTGTACAGGGCTGCTGGCAAACTACGGAAGTATAACAGTGAAGGACTACACCGGCACCACTTCCTGTTCCGGGTCTTCTGTTGTAGGATGTACTGACAGGACTCGACTTCAATTTACATACGCCTCTTGCGCAACAAGTATGGTATTTTCTGGTAAGTTTATCCTTAAACCCATTATTATTATTATATGTATAGTATACATGCAAGTTGTTAAAAGATACGAGATCATAAGAATACATATATAAAAAATAACATCCTATTCTTCGCCAATGTACACGATCCTTTCTACAATCGAAAAAGTGCTTAGATTCAAACTACCAAACTAGTGTTATTTATTCCGTCGTGATAGATACCTTAACAGAAAAAGAGGTTAAGAAATTGTGATTATAATATAACGACGACTTTTCTTTGATTTATTTTATTGATAACAGATAATAAATGTTTTTCATACGATCAACGTAAAAAAATTGAAATCAACAGATAACAAGTATTCTCGTTTGCATATTGTACTGTATAATATATACATATTGATAGGTATCAACACTTGTCGACACAAATTTTAGAAGAAGGAATGTAAGAGATGTTGTGTTTACTTATCTAGGTGCAGGCTTATTCATGTGTATGAGGGCCGTTACATACGGAGACTATATTTACCTGGCCCTGTGGAACAATGACACCACTGTCGACGATTCCTCTACATTCAGATTTACCTGTATGGTAAGTATACAATTTATCTACATTCAGATTTACCTGTATGGTAAATGTACAATTCATCTACATTCAGATATACCTGTATGGTAAATGTACAATTCATCCACATTAAGATTTACCTGTGTGGTAAGTGTACAATTTATCTACACTCAGATTTACCTGTGTGGTAAGTGTACAATTTGTCTACATTCAGATTTACTTGAATGTTTAATGTACAATTTATCTACATTCCGATTACCTGAATGGCTAGTGTACAATTTATCTACATTCCGATTTACCTGTATGGTAAGTGTACGATTTCACGTTTTTCATACCGCTCTGGCGTTATTTCGTTATACAGGTGTACTGTACGGTAACTGCAGGGTACCTTACATACAAATGTAACTGTAAAGTAAGTGTATGATTCGACTACATACAGATTTACACGTGTTGAAATTAAGCAATTTATATACATACGGATTATCCTGTATGGGAAATATTTGATTCCTCTACATACAGATATTCTTGATAGGAAAATGTAATATTCCACAACAAACAATTTACCTGTATGGTAAATAAACAATCCAGAGTTACCTGTTTGGTAAATAACCAATTAAAACTTATCGGTATGGTTATCGTACGATTCTGCTACATACCGTCTTACCTGTTCAGATATACCGGTTTGATAATTGTACGATTCCACTTCAGTCGTATTTACCGGTATGGTAATGTTACTATCCTATTACATACCGATTTACTTGTATGGCACCTGTTTGGTAATTGTATGGTTCCTATCTGTCTTTATGGTGAGTGTATTCATACTATGTATTTTGTGTTGTCATTTGATTCAACCAAGAATTGTACTAAATTTATCAATGATGGTCTTTTAGTTGTTTCTGGTAGACAAACTGTCTTTAACTCGTCTTATTTGTTGAATGAATGTGTTTTATACAATTGCTAAATATGTTTCATGTAAACTTTCATATTCTTCCCCTTTATATCAATCTTAGTGATGTTAGTAATGAGAATAAATATGTGGTATTGAGATTGTTTGTTCAATTTGTAATTTGTGATATTTTGCTTTATACTGAATCGGAAATAAATATTATAAATTGTTAAATGTAAAAGCGTGAATTGTTCTTTTAAACAAAGGCGATAGCAAACGATGGTAGCAATGCGTACTTGACGGAGTACCCGAGGTACTGCAAGGAGACCTCTCAGACTTCTGTATCCGTCGCGACCCCCGGGATCATCATGGAACTCAGCAGCCAGTCAGGTATGATGTTATAATTGTCGAAACAATCATTTTGTATTAATGTTATGTTAGAAAATTATGTATGTGTCTGATCTGATATGTAATAGAAATGTAGAGTTTATGGAAACGTGATAATACATCATACAGATATGTTGATGAGGACGTTAAAGTGCTATTTATCATAACGACATCATGTGTTGTGAATTTCAAAAGTATGTTAAAATAGACGGCCAAGAAAAAAAACCCCAAAAAACCCCCAGATATCTGACAAAAATTGATTAATATAAAATGTTTTGCATACGAGATAAATCACAATTTTTAAAAAAAATTTATCATGATTTATGCTATATTATGCATTAAAAACATATTCATCTTTTTTCACAGAAACGTGTGGTGAGTAAAGATATCTTTATGCTAATTTCTAATTATGCAATACTGTAACATTTCAACAAAAGTGCACATCGATTTATTCAAACATCATAAAGAAACACATATGGAAATAGGACATTTGAAAAGTAATTTAAAGGTGTAATAAGAATTAACCTTTAAGTTAATGAAGCTGCAATGTAGGGCTTTTTGTTTTTTTACCGGGTTCCTAGAGGCAATAGTTTCATCAGTAGTGGAAATTCGGATAAGATAATGCAAAATAAATACTGTAAAATATTCGCAAGTTTTAAAAATTTATCATGAAATAATTTAGTTTATCTTAAAGTGTTGTCTGATACGTCTTGTATAATCAATTGCAGCTGATGATTGTCTCGTCATTTCTTGTTGCTGTGTTGCCTCATTAATTCCTGTTGCTGTGTTGTCTTATTAATTCCTGTTTTAATAATGCCAGTTGCTGTGTTGTCTTATCAATAACTGTTGCTGTGTTGCTTCATTAATTTCTGTTGTTGTGTTGTCTAATTAATTCCTGTCTTCATAATGCCAGTTGCTGTGTTATCAATAACTAATGCTGTGTTGCCCCATTCATTTCTGCTGTGTTGCTTCATTAATTTCTGTTGTAATATTACCTCATTAATTCCTGTTGTTGTGTTGTCTTATTAATATCTGTTGCAGTGATGCCCCATTAATTTATGTTGTTGTGTTGTCTAGATAATTTCTGTTGTTATTTTGACTTATTAATTTCTTCTGTGTTGTCTCATTAACTCCTGTTTTCATATTGTCTCATTAATTCTTGTTGTTGTGTTGCTTCATCAATCCTCGTTTTGTTATTCATGTTGTTGTGTTGCTTCATTATTCTCTGTAGTTGTGCTGCCTCATCAATTTCTGTTCTTTTGCCACATTCATTTTTGTTGCCTTATTCATGTTGCTGTGTCGCCTCATTATTCTCTGTTGTGTTACCCCATCAATTTTTGTTGTGTTATTCATGTTGCTGTGTTGCCTCATTATTCTCTGTTGTGTTACCCCATTCATTTTTGTTGCCTTATTCATGTTGCTGTGTTGCCTCATTATTCTCTGTTGTGTTACCCCATCAATTTTTGTTGCCTTATTCATTTTACTTTATTATTCTCTGTTGTGTTACCCCATTAATTTTTGTTGTGCTATTCATGTTGCTGTGTTGCCTCATTAATTACTATTGTTTTATGGCCTAATGATTCCTATAGTTGCGATTACCTGTCAGCATTGAGGTTACATTATTTGCGTGTATTGATTTGAATTTGTTACACTACTATACTATTTTACAATTCTAAATACGCTATAACATGTCAACAGAATCTATCGTGGATGGTGCCACTTATCTGATGTTTATCGTCATCATGATTACGATTGGACCACTCATCATCCTCGGACTAGTGGTACTCACCTACTGCTGCTGTAAGAAAGGATGTCCGTGTTCGAAGAAGAGCAGGTGGTGTGGCAAGAAGGGTGACAGCGGTAGTCGACCATCGACCTCTTACTCACAACGGACTGATACGGTTAATAATACTATCTTCAAGCTGAATAGTCTACCTCCATTGAGGGTCAAATACAAACGTCCATTTGGGCCGATTGTGGAGGCAAACATGATTCAACCCCTTCCAAAAGTAGAATCTCTGTACAGTAATGCCAAAGGAGACAGGCTTATGTCGTCCAAGTCCAGGAAAGGATCACTTGGAAGTTTATTCAGTTTCAGTTATAAAAATTAATTACAGTTTATTGTTATGCTACACGAGTTAGAATGACATTAATTATGTTGTTTTAGAGAAACTTCAGATTTTCTAAGAGATATATATATCATTTTAATGTGAACAATGACTATAAACAATGTTGTATTGTGATGCTAGAGATTGGTATCTTACTATGCATCGTAGGAATACCTGATCACTATTTAACCCGTTATTACTTACTCATCTGAACAGAGAAGTGCTGTTCAAATTCATTATGATATCATTATCATGTAACGGTTGTTGTTACATTTAATATATATATATATAGAAAGGTCATTTCAACTATCTGAAAATATATATCAACATCGACAGAAATGTTTCACAAATTCTAATTCCTCGTTTCTTACGCTAGTGTCAGCAGGTATGGGGATTCATAGTTAATTTTATACCCTAAGGGACCTAACTCGGATTAATACAAATATCAAAAAGATCACATTGACAAAGCACTAACTTGCTCATTTCTTAAAAATCTTAAAACACTCTTGCTATAGGTCGAATTTGAATGTTTCCAATGCATTTCCACTAGTGAAATGAAGCAAACATTTAGATGGATAAACTATAATTTATTCCTTGAAATGAAAAATAAACACTTTCGGATTTTTAGTACTTGCACCACTGAAAACATATTTCATCTTTAAAAACATACCAGCCAAAAGCAGTGACACAAACAAACAGAAATGAAAATATAATAAACATTATATCTAACAACGTCTTACATTCACTTGTGTAGTGTATAGAAGAATGCGTAACATCAATGAAAGATACCAGAAATTTACTCATACTACAAAATATCTTTATACTTAATTACGAAACCGTTTAATATCCTTTATTTACTGGAAACCATACCCTAAAATTCATGTACTATAATACCTAATAAGTTTTTTTTTACCAGTTCCAAATGATTTCTAGCTGAAACTAGTCACGAAAATACTTTTATTGAAGGTTTATTACTTTCTGCCGTCTATTTAGTCAGAATACTGTTGCAATATCTCAGACATTTTGGCTATAGTACTGCTGATGAACATGATGTGTCTGTTTCTGAATATTCTGTTAATAATTTCATACATGACTTATTATTATCTCTTTCGTCCACTTGGTTGAAACTTTGATGAATTCTTGAGTTTACGTTTAGAAATCAGGTGAATGCTTATTGTGAAGACATGCAGGCTATAATTACATAAAATGTGATTAGGTCTGCCTTGTGATAAATGTGTTAGATTTATTAATTTTGTTATTTATGCTTGTATCAAGTTATTCATATTAAGTTTTGTTTTAAATTTTGTATTTGTGTTCAGTCGTCGAGATTAACATAACCGATAAATCTTCACCGGAGCGAGGAATTGTGTTATTTGTAATTTGTAATTATCTGTGTCCATAAACACTATCCTAGATAAAACTATGTGCCCAATTACTTCTCATTCGCCCGATCCAAAGACATTATATTCGTTTTAACATCTTTATTTTACGCCGAAACCCAAGTATTTTCTATTCACAAAATGCACTCATATTATTATCATGTAACATCATTATCATACTCCATGCCGAGTTATTTCTTTGTTCACCAAATCCATGTACATTTTACTCTGTAAAAATCACCTCAATCATCTCCATTATACTTCCTCGTAAAAGAATCAATTGTGGTCTTTGTCGAAGCCTGTTATACTGGGAGTCCAAATACATAAATACCCAGTGAATCTACAACACGTTCAAGTGAAAAAAGGTTGCTTGTTGCAAATTGCAGAATTGGACAAGTAAAATCGAAAAGTTTGCTAGTGACACACAAGTAGTTGTCCGTCAATAATAGTTTGTGCTTCTCGTTATGGCCGCGAGAACCCAGTTTTGAATCATGGTTAGGGCAGTCAACTGTGTCAGACAGTGTTATGGCACGGTGAACCATTTCTCTCAGAACTTAAAATCAATTATTTGTTTTTGTATTAAAAAAACTTAGTAATTATATTGACCTTTCTGATTAAGGAAAAACTAGATTGAAATATTCGATAAAATGTAACTGTTAGGGGCTAGATATTCCACAACAAATACTCTGACAAATCCGTATAGTCAAGCTTTTACAATACGTTGTCCTTTGAAATTGGAATTACATTATAAATCTATAGAGGTTTTATATGAAGCTTATCTTTATTGAATCTGACTGGTTAATATTGATAAGATAAAACCGACAGTGACATGTAGTGAATGTTCTGATATCTGTAAGGTCTTGAAAAGGAATATATCATTTATATCGGTTAACATTATAAAATTGAAATTGAAAATAATTGATAATGTTTCCCCATTTTCATTTATCTGTAATTAAACGTGATCTTCATTACAAATCTCCACATGATACAACTTTTAATAACCCTTATAGTTCAAATGCAATGTCCTGTATAATGCGATCATTGTACAATATTATGTAATCAAACAATCAGATAATAACATAACGTCATAGATTTAAATGATTTTAGACTTTTCACCGATCAATAATTAAATATCTGTGTATTGTCGAGCAGTTGAAGTATTCGTGTATTACAGTATCACGTAACCGCCAATACAGCCGTGATCGTATTAGTGGTTAGTACTTCGCGTTGTGGCCGCGACAACCCAGGTTCGAATCCTGGTCACGGCAGCGAGCTGTGTCAGTCGCTGTTACGGCACGGCGGTTTATGTTTTTATGTTTCATCAGAAAATTAGTTCGGATAAAAATTATGTATTGTTAAACTGGGGAACTTGTAATTGGGTTTGTAATAACAAAAGTTATTGAAATGGGTGATCTCGTTTTGAGGAATGTTTGGTACGGATACAATTAGAGAGAGAGAGAGAGAGAGAGAGAGAGAGAGAAAGAGAGAGTCGATAATTATAACTGAAGCCAAACTATTGAGTCCAAATGTATCGTATTCCTTAGAGAATTATTTATAGATAACGGAGGTACATTGTACTTAGGTTTATAATAACATTGTAGAAAGACTTTCATATGGGTGATCTCCGATGTTAACGTATTGACAGGTGTGTTAATATATATAGCTGTTTATATTTATCAACAGCCCCTTAAAGAAAAATCCTTTAGAGATCAAATCAAAATACCCCCTACTTCAGCAGACACAGTATCGTGACATTCATCGGGAAGATGGCAGATGTATAAGATGGATAGGCCTACGGGTATTTGAAGAGTTTCTCAAATATGACACGAGAGACATGAGTAAGAACACGTCTGTTTGCAAGCGATGCTTGTGCCGTACAGGTCAATGGAAGATGGTAGGTGAATATGATGGATAGATGTATTGGAATTTTGGGGAGTATATCATATATGAAACGAAGGAAACAATAACAGCAGTTCTGGAGAATTTGATTTCGGTTATCTATGGTATAAGTAAGAAAATATAAGTGATGGATAAACGTATGAGGAGGTAGATATCCATCTGTGATTAATCATTTGATAAAGTTTTCTTGACCAAACATATTATTGCACACGCCTATAAAACAAATCAATCAAGAAATTTCTTTAAGGATTTTTGGTACTTGTGGTGATTAAAAAAGTTGTTGTAGCATAAATCCATGGTTGTAAAATGAATGACTGCAATCGAAAGGTATATTACAATGTGTCTATAATAGGACACGAAGAAATATTCGAGCTTAGATGTCGGAGAATATTGGGGCAGACAAATGTGAATAAGTGTTCTGATGTTGTGCTGATAAAATGGTTGGACAGTCGTCTTCGCAGATCACATTGAAAATGGATCAATACTCAAAAACTATTACTCCGATATGGATTTCCACCATTTTCCTTTTGACTATCAGCAGTCACGTGACTGCGACCTTGCACTAAGATGACGTCTTTTGATGACCTATTCTAACTTCATATCAGTATTAGGTAATCAGACTTCGAGGACGTGCCATCGTTCCTCAAAACAAGTGTAGATAAAATTATTGATATGATACATCTAATAGACAATTCATTATTTTAAACAATATAAACATGAACATCATTACCAAGAAGAATGTTTTTGTGATAGGTGACGACGCCAGCAATAAATTTAATAGCAACAAAATGATAACCCATATTTAAAAAGAAACCATCCATATCCGCCAATACAGCCGTGATCGTATAGTGGTTAGTACTTCGCGTTGTGGCCGCGACAACCCAGGTTCGAATCCTGGTCACGGCAGCGAGCTGTGTCAGTCGCTGTTACGGCACGGCGGATTCATTTTATCTGTTTCAGCAGAATGTTAGTTCGGGTAAAATTAAAATCAAAAATCGTAATTATGATTGAATCCGATATATTGACACAGGCCAAATGTTATGTATCACATAGGGTCGATGTGAATAATAACATGTTAGAAAGACTTCCAAAACGGTGATCTTTAATGTTAACACCTTGATCCATTGTTAAGTTGTTTGGGTAAGCTATTTGAGCGTGTTGTTTATAAACACATATACAATCATTTAGTAAAACGGTGATCTTTAATGTTAACACCTTGACAGTTGTGTTAGTGTTAGTTCTTTGCAAGCTCTCTCCTGTAAGATGAGAGAAGCACTGTTAACAGTGTAATATATATATAGATATGTTACACAATGTATATCAGACGAGTGAAAGATACAATGGCAATTTATTTTCATATTCACATAAGAAAAATTACTTATTCATGTCTCTAAAAGACAAGATTTGCTGTAAAAACTTTCAAAGAGAGTTAAACTTGTGACAAGTTACTACGCGGCAGAATATATGGTGGTAACCTTCAGCTTTCGTTGTTAAAGCCTCGAATTCCCTTGAAATGTCTTAACTTGTTAGCTCCACGTTCAAGAGGTTCGGTAGGAGATATGCTCTGATCTCTGATAAGGTAATTTGCGTTGAAGTGTTTGCTGATATTCATGGAAATGAACGCTAACCATGGAATTGAAGGTTGTATCACAAGTAAACAAACCCTTCAGATGTCTGGTTTTGTGTTTTTTGCACCTTGCTAAATTTATGGTTTGTCAATTTTAT